CACTCAATTAGCAGTTCCAGTAAACCAGTCACATAATTGGCCAGGCAGAATCACTTCATTAATCTGTCATCTACTAGCCAAAACATGCCAGGCCAGCAGTCACCTTCATTAATCTGTCATCTAGCCAAACAGCCAGCCGCATCACCTTATATCTGTCATCTACAGCCAAAACATGCCAGGCCAGGCAGTCACCTTCATTAATCTGTCATCTACAGCCAAAACATGCCAGGCCAGGCAGTCACCTTCATTAATCTGTCATCTACAGCCAAAACATGCCAGGCCAGGCAGTCACCTTCATTAATCTGTCATCTACAGCCAAAACATGCCAGGCCAGGCAGTCACCCCTGTCATTAACAACGGTCATCTACAGTCACAAAACATGCCAGGCCAGGCAGTCACCTTCATTAATCTGTCATCTACAGCCAAAACACGCCAGGCCAGGCAGTCACCTTCATTAATCTGTCATCTACAGCCAAAACACGCCAGGCCAGGCAGTCACCTTCATTAATCTGTCATCTACAGCCAAAACACGCCAGGCCAGGCATCACCTTCATTAATCTGTCATCTACAGCCAAAACAACGCCAGGCCAGGCAGTCACCTTCATTAATCTGTCATCTACAGCCAAAACATGCCAGGCCAGGCAGTCACCTTCATTAATCTGTCATCTACAGCCAAAACATGCCAGGCCAAGGCAGTCACCTTCATTAATCTAGAACTAAAAGCAACAGTGTGTATATAGGGAGGTGTTTCAGAACCACAAACTGAAGTTTCCCTTTCCTGTGTACGTATGGGAAAATGCACACGCATACACTTCGACCCTCCATACTGATGCGCTCATGGGTCAGGTTGTGTGAAAACCAGAAAGGGATTGGCTGGATCAGTATGGAGCATGTAGTTCTGTTGGGACTGAAGGGTTCTATATAGTTATGTTGGGACTGAAGGGTTCTATATAGTTCTGTTGGGACTGAAGGGTTCTATATAGTTATGTTGGGACTGAAGGGTTCTATATAGTTCTGTTGGGACTGAAGGGTTCTATATAGTTCTGTTGGGACTGAAGGGTTCTATATAGTTATGTTGGGACTGAAGGGTTCTATATAGTTATGTTGGGACTGAAGGGTTCTATATAGTTCTGTTGGGACTGAAGGGTTCTATATAGTTCTGTTGGGACTGAAGGGTTCTATATAGTTCTGTTGGGACTGAAGGGTTCTATATAGTTATGTTGGGACTGTAGGGTTCTATATAAATCTGTTGGGACTGAAGGGTTCTATATAGTTCTGTTGGGACTGAAGGGTTCTATATAGTTCTGTTGGGACTGAAGGGTTCTATATAGTTCTGTTGGGACTGTAGGGTTCTATATAGTTCTGTTGGG